ATTATATATTTAATTCATACCACAATGGCAAAAAGTTGCTTTAAGCGTATTAAAAGTTGCATAAAAACTATATATAAATATTTGATACCCACATCAAATGAATTAGAATGCTTTAGAAGCTCAGAAAAATGGAATAATTAAATAGTTTTTTTTTTCTCTCTCTCTCTCTCAAGTCACACAAAGTGCAGAACGTTAATCCGCTTGCCCGAGTAGACATCAAACGTGGATTATATATGGCTGTGGTGGCATATGAGAAAGGCAACATGTATTATATAAAGACAATGTGTATTTATATCTATATACATATATAAGAAGAGATTGCCACAAGTTTAGCCTGCAGTAAACGCTTTGCCTTGCCTTTGACTCGAACCGAAGCCGAGCTGAGCTGAGTTGAAATGAGTTGAGCATGACAATTGCGCTGAGGCCTGAAGCGCATTCACTTATTTGTTTTACAAAGCACACCCGAGGCACAGCAGCACACACCCACACACACACACACACACACACACCTATACACTCGCACAGCCACATGAGTAAGATTAAATGAAAGAATAATAGAGCTGAAGAACCCTTTTGTCATCTTCACTTAGCGCAACACTTAATTTCACTTGGATGAGGCGCAGAAGTTGTGTAAATTGTGCGAACTTTGTTGCTGCCGCTCGCTGCTCTGCCTGAGATAAATATGACAAACACACACACACACACCCACACTCACACACACACACACACACACACATTCTCCGTATAACATACATTTTGACATTTAATTTTAAGCGCATGTTGGGGAATTTCTTTTGTGCGCCAAAAACAAATAAACAAACTGCAAAGACAAAAACAGTGAAACAACACAAGGCAAAGGGCGCTAAGGCAGTGGGGCAGAGCGTGTGCGAGGGGAAGTGGGGTGGGGGTGGGAGCAGCCCACGAAGTAACTATAAAGTTGCTCGAGAGACATTTTATGATTTGAGCACTTGAAGGCAGCAGACGCGCAACAGACAACAGATTGCTGACTGTTTATTATGGCCAAAAAAGACGAGGCAACAGTGCAAAGGAGATGAGCTAAAGAGAGAGGAAGTGTGAGAAGGGGGGAACGAGAAGAGCGAGAGAGAGAGGAATGGGAGGGAAGGGTGGGAGGTCAGCAGCACATGAGATAGAGACTGCAAATCAACGTCTTGCGAAAGCACTTTTTGCAGTCCATTTGTAAAATGACAATAAGAAAGAAAGCAAAGCAATCTAAGAGATGATATAACTTGTTATATACCCTGTACAAACTAAGAGCAGTGGCAGTATTGGTTGATGGAAAGTATTGCGGTATTAAATATATATATACATATAGCTAAGCGAAGTGAAGAAGCAAAAAGGCAAAATATGACATAACCCGCCCTGTATACCCTATAAGCTAGTGGGAGCTTTAGTTACATTGCATACTAATGATATGTTACTATATACCCTATATTAATCTAAGACTGAATGTTAATTTAGTTGAATAATAATAAAATATAAATAAATATAACGTACAAATTCAAGTATACCCTGTAAAATATAATACCGATTTTTAAAGAATTTTATTTTAAAATAATCTG